CTGTTAGCTTCCAGGTGGTCTGGTTTGGCAGCTTTAGTCAGATGTCTCCTTTTCAGACGATCTTCAAGGTTTCATCATCAGTTAGATGAACCTTCCCAAAATCACCAATGACATAGTTCTCCATGATTTCTCAGTATGAGGTGGAGTGGAAATATGCCCCTGAATCCAAGATCCATGATTCAATCGGACTGTTGACGCTTAGAATCATGGCATACATGTCTCCTCTGTCACGTTGGTAGATTCCTATGCGCCGATATTTTTCTTCGGTGCTTGGCAATCTCTTTTAAAGTGACCCTTCTTGCCGCAGTTATAACAAGTAAAATATTTCTTTCTCATTCTGGATTTGGATCTGCCACGATTTGAATTTCTTTATGAATTTCTCCCTCTAGACTCCGTGTGCAAGGCTGAGGAGGTTGATGCTTCACCTGATTCTCTCCGGCGAATTTCTTCGCTCAGTACCAGATCCCGAACATCATCGAATTTCAATTTACTATTTCCCGACGAGCTGCTAACTACTGTAACAGTAGTATTCCAACTATCTGGTAGAGATGATAAGAGAATTAAAGCTCGAACTTCATCATCGAATTCAATTTCCACGAAACTCAACTGGGTTGTGATTGTGTTGAGTTCATTTAGGTGTTGAGCCACTGATACTCCTTCAGCCATCCGCAATTTGAATAATCGCCTCATCAAATTAACTTTGTTTGAGGCTGATGGCTTCTAATACATGTTGGAGAGAGCCGCCATAAGAGCCGCCATGGTCTTTTCCTTTATTATGTTGAAAGCAACATTACGGGATAACGTCAGTCGGATAACTCCGAGGGCTTGTCTGTCAAGAAGAGCCCAGTCTTCATTCTTTATGCCCTCTGGTTGCTTTCTTGAGAGAGGTTGATATAGATTTTTCTAGTACAGAAAATCTTCAATCTACATCTTCCAAAAGCCAAAGTCTGCACCATCGAACTTCTCAATTTTCACATTCCCTTCGTCTGCAGCCATCGCTCCCACTCGAATCTAGGCTTCTTTGGATCGTTCTGACAATTTTCGCAAACCACCGTGTATTAGAACACCTCCGTCGACAAATTCGTATCGCCGACAAAATTTTACTATTCACAAAATTCAATATTTACGTAAATAGTAATGAATAGTAACCTCGCAAAAATTGATAAAATTCACAACCAAAAGCTCTGATTACCAGTTGTTGGGAAATAAACCGAGTAACGAGTAATTTCCCTATAACCAGATTAGTGAGAATGCAAAATAAAAAGCGAAAAAATAATACCCGAAATTGATAACGGAGTTTAGCCAATTTTGCTTACGTCTCCGGACTGCTGCAGATCTTTTACTAAGAGAGAAAATTTACAGGTGTTTATAAAACACTCACTACTCACAAGAAAGCTCTCTAGTATTGGGAGAAAGAAAATGATTTTGGGATTTGGGATGATTTTGAAGCTAAATGAGCTAGGGTATTTATAGTTGAGCCTTAGGGACTAATCTTGAAATTAACCCTATTTTCATTTTAATTAAAAATTAGGGCACCGAATTTGATGCCCCCCATTGTTGAAAACTCAAGCCGGTGCTCCTACGTTCTGAAGAAAATCAAGCCTCCAGCCCCATTTGTTGAAAAAAACATGCATTAGGCGATGCCCACCCCTTTGATAATTTCCATTTCCTTGAGCCACTTCCAACAGTGTGCAGGGTGGTTAAGGGTGTTGCCGCCATGGATTTAGATTTTTAGAGTAATGTTTTGGGGCAGGTTAACAAGCTAGTGGAAAACATCTGAAAGCAATTGGAGAGTATGTATAGAAAAATTGTTGATGAGAAGTGGACAAACACAACAGTTTCGTTTTGGAATTAATTAAGTTTAGGTTTCTTTGGGGTTAGGGGTTAACATTCGATCGAGTCGAGTAAAAAAATTTTGAGTTATTCGAATTGACGAGTCGTATTTTACAACTCAAACTTAATTTGAATTTTTTCGAGTCGAGTTTAAGAAATTTGAGTCGAGTTATTCGAGTTTCTATAATAATTTTATTAAAATTTTTTATAGTATTTTGTCAATGATTTGTTCTATTTTTTGACTTTATCTAACCATAATATATATATATATATATATATATATATTATTCTTTCATATTATAATATTATTTAATATATCAAATGTAATCTAAAATTATGAAATATATTCATAATATTATATTTTAAATAAAGTATTTTGAGAGTAAAATATTGATGAGAGTATAAACGAGTCAAAGAATTGATGATAATAAAGAATTTGCAAACAATTGTAATCAAAAGATCAAATTGAGTAAAATGCAAAATTAAGGGACTAAATAAAAGAGAGTACATATTTAGTAAAAAAATAATAATTGAAGTTACATATGTATTCTACTGTGATATATGAGTATGTGGTTCAAATTTGGTAAAAAAAAGCTTAAAATAAATCACAGATTGAAGCAATAAGGAGATTGTGAAAAATTAAAGGACTAAATTTAAAAATAATAAATTTGTTATCAGAAAGAGGAATTGAAAGTACACATGTATTCTACTAAGGTTTAGGAGCATGTGGCTCAAATTTGGTAAAAAACGAACTTAAAATAAATGACAATTTGAATAAATAAGGAGATTATAAAAAATTGAAGGACTAAATTGAAAAATGAAACATTTATTATCAAAAAGAGGAATTGAAAGTACACATGTATTCTACTATGGTTTAGGAGTATGTGGTTCATATTTGGTAGAAAATGAACTTAAAATGAAGGAGGAATTAAATAAATCATGAAATACTTTAAATCGTAAAATTATCAGAATACTTATTCAAATTGTTGGTTTTTTTGAGTAACTCGAAAATTAAAAATCTAAATTTGACTCGAACTCGAAAATAGGATTTATAATTCAGGTTGACTCGAATAACTTAAAATTTAAAAAAAAAATTGATTTTTCGAATCGAGTCTAATTTTGATCACCTCCATCATGGGTAGTTGGATTTTTTTCGAGACATTAAGGATTCGTTTGGATCAAGAAATTTAGAATTCCTGGTAGGCATATTCTTTTCCTGGTAGAGGATACCCATGTTTGGTAGGGTAAGATTCCCAAGTGAGGGTAATATTTATTTCCCAACAGTAAATATTGTGTGTGTATTCCCGGGAATGTTATTCCCGCATAGATGTTAGGTATTCTTTTATTTCGTGTGTTAAGGGCTAAAATAATCTCTTTTCCCCGTTTGTCTCTGCGTATCTTCTTCTCCCTTTGCCTCTGTGTATCTTCTTCTCCCCTTGCCTCTGTGTATCTTCTTCTCCCCTTGCCTCTGCGAAAAATTCATCGGTTCTCCTGGTAAGATTTCTTCTCCTCTCCCTTTCTTCTCCTCTCCCTTTCTTTACAAGTTTTGACTTGTTTAAATTTTCCAGAAAAATGGTTTCGGGTAAGGGTTTATGTTAATCTAGTATTGTTTGGTCAAACCCATTTTTTCAAAAAAATGCTTTCGGGTTAGGGTTTATCTTAATCTAGTATAGTTGTTGTTTTGCTTGGATCCATTCTGCCATTTTTTTATAATCTTGTACTGTTTGGTCGAACCCATTTTTGATTGGAAATATAGTTATAGTTGATGCTTTGCTTGGATCCATTCTGTCAGAATTTGTTGCAACAATTCTCATTTAGATTTTGAAATTGAAGAGACTGAAGAGAATCACTAGTAGCTAGTAATATTTTTTAAAAAAATAGTTAAATATAGATCATTCGACAATATATCAATAACATAGCTTATAAAAACACTAAAACATTATACAGTTCAAGCCAAACTTTAATTACAGGAAGTTGCACTAGAACACAAGGCTTAGATAAAGGTAACCTTGTATAAGTCAAAGAGAGTGATGAGTTTTTAGTCTGAGTTGGAAACATTTGCCTGCAGAAATATCATAAGAGAGATTGAAGGAGTGAAAAAAAATGATGATTATTATTATATCATTACAAATGTTTGTTGAATAATCAATATATAATTATGTTGTATACATAGGTTGCATAGAAGGAAGGAAACCAGTGGAAGCTTTGTCGGGTTCATCAACTCTATTCCCCCCCCCAAAATCTAATTTTCTCCTTGCTTTTCCCTGTAGAACTGGGACCAAGTCTTTGGTTAATGTGCAATATTTGAGCTTTAATGGAAGCTTGAATAGTCTTAAAGAGGGGTTGTAAACTGTAAAGTAAAAGCAAGGATATTTGAATAGTCTTAAAGAGAGGGTTGTAAACTGTAACATGTCCATTACTTGTCTCTTTTCATTAATGTCAAGTTTCATTTTTCTTAGAAGATTGGGGTTAGTTCCCATAACAACGGGGTTAACAAGAATAGGTTGACGTGTCTTATCTTATTTAGCATATAGAAGACTGAAATAGAAAAACCAGAGTTTACCCAGAAGTTTAAACCACAAATGCAGAAAATCCTTCTAGTTTCAGCAATGTTGTAAGCCCATTGATATTCCAAGACAGAATCTTAACAAACTCTGTATTCTCCTTAGGAGGTGTTCGTCTCATAGTTCTAGGATTATATGTTATCCACCCTTTTTGCGGCTTCTTATGGGCCAAAATAGTCCATGGTTCGCTTTGATTCACTAGAGTAACTCCATTTTCAGCACTAACATCTTTGCTATCAATGTCTTTTTTTATAGAACTAATATTAAACCATGTTCAATCTATATAGTTTGAATGACATTGAATAATATTTTGAAGGGGTACACACAAATAAGCTAAACTTCAACGAAGTTCAAAATTCCCCTTGAATAAAAACATAAACCTTAATCTTGAAGAACTCCCATTTAAAATCAGACAAAAATTGAGGCAAACAATACACCATAAAACATAATGTTCTTAAAATCATTAAAGGGAAACACAACCGCAAAAGTTTGTTTAAACCTTAAATCTCCCATTGACTAACCATCTTCTATAAAAAACACGAGACAAGAGATGCCTCACTCCCTCAAAATTAGACATGTAAATTAGAGCATGTCAACCCAACCTCATTTGCCACCATGTTTTGCCTTCTTGTGAGATCCTAGACCGCCAGACTTTGGAGTCTTTGCTGAATATTTCCTAGCCTGCTTCCCTGGATGCGGTGTTGTTATATGGCCACCCTTCTTACCATCTACTGACTTCTGGGGTAAAACTGTAAATTTAGCCTTTTTTGAAGCAGGGGTTGCAGTTTTCACAGGTCTATTCTTGCTCTTTTTTAGAGAAGTCTTCCTACCTAGTAAAAGCAAGGTTCAAAAAACAATAACCCATCCTTATACTCAAATTAAAGTGATAAAAGAATAGTTCTGTAACTAAGAACAGTATAAGCATTACTGCTATATATAAATAAATTTTCTGCAGTACCTGAAGCACAAGTAGTTTTCTTCTGCTCGGCGGTGACAATTTTATCATCAACATCGACAATTTTACCCTTAATTTACAACTGTTTTACAGTTTTCCTGCTCCGTTGAACCATGGAAACCTTAGAAATAGTGTTAACATCTTGGACTTGGTCCTCTACTGATTTTGTCTCCATCATAGGCACAAATAAAACTTTAGGTTTGTTGTTGCTTGGTATGTCTCTTTAGGTTTGGGGGTGCCATTAACACGCTCAACGTCTAGCTCAGTTATGCACGCCAACGCACTCACTCAACTTCCCAGTTTGTTGTTGCCACCCTCTTTGTTATATTAGGCTAAAATATATTGGTAGTCCAAACTTTTAGGTTATTTGTATTTTCGTTACCGAACATTTGAAATTTGCAATAAAGTCACTAAATTTTTAATTCGTTATTATTACAATTATTGTCGTAAAAAACTGATATAACATGTTAAAGTATATTTTTAATTGCAGTCACTGTTTTAAATTTTTGATCTCCTTTATCATAGAATAATTCCTTTTTTTTCCCTCTTAATTCTTTGTTTAGGTTCAATTGAGGTAAATAAAAGTCTTGAAATATCGCCTTTCTATTGATTTTATTGTCATTTAATGATTTCTCTGATTAAAAAATACTATGTTGAATTCAGTGGATCATCTTTAGATGGCTTAAAAAATTAGTGTTCAATTATTTTTATTGTGATGAAAAACAATTGTTCTTTTTAAATATTATTATTTTCTAATATTAAAATGTTTGTTCATAATAACAGTTATGGCTCGTTTACCAATGCGAAAGAAGACGCATATCGCCACAATTCTTATTTTACAACTGCAAATAATGGAGATTGTGTGTCATATGCTTATGGTTATTTCAGTTATTCTTAGAAAATATAAAAATCGACCTAAAATAACTTATGCACATGAAAGACTTCATAGACATAATATTAGATCACTTAATTTACATAAAATTATATTTGAAAGTAATCGACAAAGTGTTGATAATTGTCGAATGGATAGGAGAGCATTTCTCAAATTGTGTCACCTATTACAAAGTCAAGGTGGATTAAAAGAGAGTCGATATATGTCTATAGAAGAAATGGTTATTACTTTCCTTCATATTATATCCCACCATATTAAGATTAGAGTTTTAAAACGTCAAACAGTAAGATCTGGTGAAACAATTAGTAGAGTTCTCCATACAGTGTTAGCTTCAGTCTTGAAACTGCATCCGATCCTTTTTAGAAAACCAGAACCGATACAAGATAATTCAACAGACGATAGATGGAAATGGTTTAAGGCATTGTATCATAATTCTGAACTTTCTTTTAAGTTAATTAGTAATGCTTAATATATAAATGGATAGTAATAATGTAATTTAACTTTATTTGATGAATATAGGGATGTTTGGGTGCTCTAGATGGAACATATATTAAGGTCAATGTAGCTGCAATCGATAAACCTAGATACAAAACAAGAAAAAATGAAATTGCGACAAATGTACTTGGTGTTTGCACACCAAACATGCAATTCATTTATGTTTTACCTGGGTGGGAAGGTTCTGCAGCTTATGGTAGAATACTCAGAGACGCCATTAGTAGAAAAAACGGTTTAAATGTTCCACAAGGTAAATTATTAGGTTATTAATATATATATATATATATATAATATAAGAATGTAAAATTCTTACAAGTTTTGTATATTAATTTACTTTTTAAATTAAAATAATATAGGGTGTTACTACTTATGTGATGCTGGATACACGAATGGAGAGGGATTTCTTGCACCATATAGAGGTCAAAGATACTACTTGAATGATTGGAGAGAAAGACACCAACCTACCACCCCTCAAGAATATTTCAACATGAAACATTCTCAAGCTAGGAATTGCATTGAGAGATGTTTTGGCATACTGAAAGCGAGATGGGGCAATTTTAAGGGAAAAATCCTTTTATCCAGTGAAAACACAATGTAGACTCATTTCTGCTTGTTGTCTTCTCCATAATTTCATAAGATCTGAGACGTCAATCGATCCTATTGGATCTGACTATACTGAAGATAGTAGGCATGTTGAAGAGATTAAAGAAGTAGAAACGATCAGACATTGTGAGCCAAGCAGTGCTTGGACTGAGTGAAGAGACAAATTAGCAGAAGATATGTTTACTAGTTGGTTGGCGTCACATACTTTAGGATAAATGTTATTTTATGTTATGTATGGACTTTCACCTTCTATTTTATCTAATGTTAGTGGTCATTACTTTCATGTATTTGACATCTTTATATTTTATGACATAAACTTTATTAAATTTTATGTATTTCTCTTCTATAAAATTCGAATTTTATTTGTTATGGACATTCATTACTTATGTCATTCACTACATTTGATTTATATTATGTTACTATTTTAAATTTCATTTATGATTAATATGTATAACATAACATGTTTTATGTTATGTTATACATTTTTTATATACATCTTCTTAGATTGTTTCGAAGAGCAATATGTCAACATCAAATATGGAATCTCAAAGGGGGGGGGGGGAAACCGACATCTAGAAAGGGTAAGTCTTTAGTAACTAAAAGGACATGGACTAAAGAGAATGATGCTGCACTTGTTGAATGTTTACATATTTTGGCTGAAGACCCACATTGGAAAGCTAATAATGGAACATTTAGATCAGGTTATTTATCTAATCTTGAAAAGATGTTAGAAATCAAGCTTTCGACATCACAAATTAGGGCCCATCCACATATTGAATCTAGAGTTAAGCTACTCAAAAGACAATACAATGCTTTATCTGAAATGTTGAATATTGGAAGTGGATTCGGTTGGAATGAAGAAGAAAAATGTTTAACTGTACCAAAGGATGTGTTTGATGATTGGGTTAGAGTAAGTATTTTAATTGAATTTATCTTATTTCTGTACTTTTTGTTATCTATATAGGTAATTCTAAGATTTATTAAATATGCAATTTTATTATATTGTAGAGTCATCTAACTGCTGCTGGATTGAGAAACAAGTTATTTCCATTCTTTGATGACTTTGTTCATATATTTGGAAAAGAAAGAGCTACAGGAACAGCAGCTGATGCAGAGGAACATATTGATGTTGAAGACAATGCATTTATAGATACATTACTTGAAGAAGATGGAGTAAGAGATTCTGAATCAAGAGAGGATGTTGGTGCTTCAACTTGCCAAACATCTGATGCTACTGCCTCTACCCCTACAATGAAAAAAATAGCTAGCAAGAAAAGGTCTCGAAGTGATGATGGGTTAACCGAGCTTGTACAGGAGATAAGTAAGTTCGGTGTTGCATACCGAGAAACTACCAAAGAAATTAAGGATATTACTGCTTTATTGAAAAATAAGGCAGAAGGAAATGATCGAAGAATGTCGATTTTCATTGAAATCATGAAAATTGAAGGCATGTCCACTGATGAAATGCTTACTGCAGAAGAGTATATTAGCAAAGATGCGCACAAGGTAGATTTCTTCTTTTCTTTGCCAAAAGAATTCAAACAAGATTATGTGATTAAGCAATTGGTTAAATGCCGTCAATTTAGACCATCATTTTGATTGTCGTCCTTCTACAATTATGTCGATCTCTTTTTGATTATGACTTTAGAATATGATCTCAACTTTTTTGTGTAACTTAGCCAAGTATATGTCAATGTTTTGACTTGAAGAATTTTTTGTGTATATGATATAGCCAACATATATGATTACGTTTATAATGTCATGGCTATTATCTTTTGTAAGTCTGAACATTGTACAAACTTTTGATGGTTAATGTTATACTTCTTTTTGTTATGTAGTATATGACTTGCAAGTATTGTGCTAGTTTTCGAATATGTTAATTACTTTGGATAGTTTTTGTTATGTAGTAAAAACCTTGTCTTTGATAGTTAACAATTATCGCTTTCATGTGTGTCGCAACTTATTGATAGTAAAAACCTTGTCTTTGTTATGTAGTATATGCATTGAAACCATACATATGTGTTATGCAAGTCTGCCGATGAAGAATTATTACAAATTAGATTTTGGAACTGAAGTGGGCATATATTAGTGCATACTGGGAAAAAACGTAGCACCAAATTCTTGTGTGCTATCATAAAAACAAAACAATTTTTATGTTGAAGCAAAACATATCCTAACATATCTCAATTTCAATCATTAGGATGTCATGAGCACTGCTTTCCTGTAATGATTGTTGAAGCATCATATCATCATCCATTGTTACCAAAGTTAATTTTTCTATAAAAAATAAGGTCTCTAGCACAAAATTGAACAGGGGAAAGTTGAGTTTGTTTACTTAATGAATCGATTATACAAATCTATAAAAAACCATTTCGTCTTATCAACTAATACATTATTTATATACCTCAATTTCAGTTTTTAGGATGTCCAAAGTTAAAATGTTTATAGAAATTAAGGTCTCTAGTGCAAAATCGAGCATGGAAAAGTTGAACTTAATTAATGGACCAATTAAACGATTTCATCAAAACCTATTCCATATTATCAACTAATATTAGGGGTGTAAACGAACTGAGTCGAGCTCGAGTATTGTTGAGCTTGTCTCGACTCAAAAATTCTGAAATGGAGCTCGACTTGACTTGAAAATTTAGATAACAAAAATCATTTACATCTTTTTATTATTATGAATATCTATGAAGAATTTTCACAATGTAAACATTTAGTTAAATGTTGATGTAAAATTTTAATATATTTTTACATAAATTATGTAAAATTTAATATTAATTAAAATTAAAATAATACATGATATATTTAAATACTCAAGTAATATATTATCAACAAATAAATTTTTTATATAAATATTTAGAATTTCACTTGTTAAAAATTATAGAACAAGGACAATTTGGTAAAATATACATTCAAGTAATCTTTTATTCCTTCAACCAAAACACTGTAATCTTACATTCCTGTCAAACTAACCAAACACAGTAATGTAACATTTCCAGTAATCCTATTCCTGGTAATCTTTTATTCCCACTGATAATCTTACATTCCGTGAACCAAACGCACCCTAATAAACTGAAATGGAAAGGTAATGGTACGCTAATCTAACTCTAATCCGTGGGGTGCAAGAAATAAATAATATTTTTAGTTTTCAAAAATATATTTTACTTTAATAATAGTTGAGAATAAAATAACATGTTTAACTTTAAAGAGTCGAAATCCAATTTGAACTCTTTATTTTAATACAATTATAAATTTTATTTTTCTAATAATAATTATAAAATTTATTAAATTAAAAATAATTAAACATTTTAATGACATTTCAATTATCAAAGGGAAAAATGAAAACTTAATAGTAAGATGTAATGTTATTCTTTTTAAAGGTTTTAATTTCCAATAACTATATATGTATGGTGTGTTTTATCAATTGGTTAAAACTTTTTGAGTGAACACTGCTACCTTATAAATATATCAATTATTTAAAAAAATGAAAACCTATTTCTGTAATTACGTAGATTCTCTAATTTTATAGTTAAAATATTTTCAAACATCACAATTTAATTGTATAAAGATACAGTTAGAACATTTGAAAAATCATTGTATAATTAAATTAAAACGTGTAATACAATTCAATAAATTCAATAAATTCTTGATAGGCTTCCTATCAAAGAAAGGCTGCAACGAATGGAATTTATCATTGAATATCAATGTGTCTTTTGTGGCGCTGTTCTGGAAACAATGGATCATTTGTTCTTCGAATGTCCTATTGCTGCATCTTTATGGACATCAGTCTTATCTCTGACTTTTTTGCTTGGGCATATACTTTTTGAAAAGGTAAATCACTGCTCACTTCTATATTGAAGATTGATTCCAATGCTCTAATCTACATCTTATGGGAAGAAATGAACAAAAGGATCTTCCATGAACGAACCAGGAATTTTGAAGATCTGATACATGCCATTAAGGAAATAATTGGTTTGCAATTAAGGGGTAGAAATCTCAATAGATTAGATAGTGTTAATATTACTCTTTGTAACAATTGGGTATTGTTTGATTGTCGATTATTTTTGTATGTAGGACAATCTTTTTAATCTGAACTCTGATTTTTTGTAGCAGTTTCTGCTATTTTAGATAATAAAAATAAATTATCAAAAAAAAAAATGTTTCACTAGTGAAAGAATTCACACAAGCTATGAATTGAGCAATTGTGAGGGACGGACACAGCAAAATGTAATACAAAAATAGTAAGACAAATAATGCTTAAATTACTAATAAACTGTCAAAATTTTGTTAATGAAATCCTATTTTATCACATAAAAATACGAAAATGTTTCATCTAATGCCTCTCCTCTTTGCTCTCTATCCATGGCATCATGTGTTAACACAACATTGGTACACAACTTCTGCTGTTCATAAAGAGATTGTAGCATGCAAATGCATCATAATCAACTAGAAAGTGAAGTTGCACCACTTCTCTCCTTCCCTGCTGTTTCTTTCTGTTCTGATTTTCCCTTCTCTGCTACTAACTTCGTATGCTCCTTAGATTTCTTTGCCATCCCCTTCTTGCTTTTCGATTCCTTTACCACTGTATTTTCCTGACCCTGCAAATGCTCTTAATTATTAAAATTTGTCTTTTTTTTGTTAAAAATTAGTGATCACCTAACCTGGATATTAATTTATTGACTAAGATATGATAAAATCTAATCTTATAATTGTTTGAGTTATATTTTATAGATTGACTCTCACCTTACATTATGTTATATAGTCGGTAATTAAAAATTATGTCATCAAACCAGTATTTAAAAGCAACGACAATGTCAATAGACATCATTAAAATATGATTTTATCATATCATAGGTAGCAGGTTAACATCTAATTTAGTCGTCCATCAATTTTTAAAAAAAAAAACGAGTTTAGAATATATAAATATTCAGACGATTATTTTATAACTTATAATAGTTAAGAAACTAAAAAAACAACAATATAAAATTTAAAAAAAAACATTTTATAAATTTTAATAATTAAGAGCATTCTTTGTATTTAAGAGATATTTTTTGTACTTTATCCTAGATTTAATTCATAACTCATCAACATATTTAAAGTGAGATAAACTATTTTATATATTTAGAACAGATCTTTTTAAATTTAAAAAAAGTTAAACAAAATAGAAAAACAATTGAACAAAGTAAATATCAAATTACAACGAATCAACTCAAGACACAAGGATCAATGACGTGGCAGGAAAGATTTACTTTTCGAACTCCAGCCCAAACGCGGGCTCCAATATTTTTCGTGATTCGATTTTAATTTTTGTATACTTCCAATTTAGTACAAAATCCCTTTTAGTTTTAGGCAAACCCCATTCTCCCACACCCCAAACCGCTCTGAAGTACAACTCTAAAAAGAATCCTCTCTTCTGTATCTCTTCGCCTACTTATTTCCCAAGGCAAAGCCCTACCGCTTCAGGTAACTCGAGGCGACGATTCAGTCTCCTATTAAACTGGTTTTGAACGAAACCTGAGTGTTCTTTTTTGTCTTCGCCGTTTTTTTCTCGCAGGATTCATCATGAAAGGTGGTCAAACGAAGTCTGATTCGATGAAAACTGGCAACAAGTGAGTTCTGCACTGTTCTATTCGATTAATTTGTGTTATGCTTCCTAATTGTTTTCATATCAACTATGAGGAACTTAAGATCTGTCTAGTTCGTCACTTAATGGATTTCTGTTTTCGGATTTGTTAATAGACTGAAAAGCAAAGGCGCAGGCGCTGGAAAGCGTGCGAAGAAGGCCGCCAAGGATCCAAGCAAGCCAAAAAGGCCTCCCAGTGCTTTCTTCGTTTTCATGTATGATATATATTCTTATAACAAACTCATTTTGTTGCGTCTTGATTCTTTTTTTCTTATTATTCATTGTGCGATTGATTGATCAATTAAGGGAGGAGTTCAGGAAGCAGTACAAAGAGGAAAATCCTGAAAACAAATCCGTCGCTGCTGTGAGTCGTCACTGTTAACGCAAATCGTTAAAAGTTTCTATAGTTTCTCTTTTCAACTTGATAATTAGAATTTGGACTACGAAGATCTTAGTCATTACATTTTTGTATTCAGGTTGGCAAAGCTGGTGGTGCGAAGTGGAAAAGCATTACAGATGTCGTGAGTAATTTTCTTTTCTTTCTGCCTTTTTTTGGTGAAAATCATATAATGCTAGTACCATACTTTAGATTTTTGTTACTTGATAGACTTGTATTTTCCAGAAGAATTTTCTAATTATCATTTGGAATTTCAGGAGAAGGCTCCTTATGTTGACATGGCAGAGAAGCGCAAAACTGAGTACAACAAGAACATCCAGGCATATAATCTAAAACTGGTAAATAATAATAATATTTATTTTTCATTATTCTTTGTTGTTAGTTTATGCAATTAATACAATAGATTTAATTTTGATTTTATGTTTGTAGGCTGGTGGTGGAGGAAACGATAATGAATCTGATAGGTCAAAGTCTGAAGTTAACGATGATGAAGGGGGGAGCGGAGAGGTTTGGTTCTAACTCAATACTCTATCAGGAGATTAATAAACATATGTGGTTTGCTGTTTGCTAGATTGGATTTTAATTTGTTTAATCTTATGTGTTGTTGCAGGATGAAAATGAGGATTGAATGAGCTAATTTGCTGATTAGATCTCGTTAGGTTTATTCTGGATAGCTTGTCCTGCTTAGATATGAACAGTTAACGTGATATTAATAGATAATAACCAAGAATGGAATTTTAGATTAGATAACAGATGGCTATGATGGACTAGCTGCAGCAGTAACTTCATGGATATTGTACTTAAAAACTCTCTTAAACATCAATAACAAGTTTGTTTCTGCGTTTTTACTTAGAAGTCAGTGTTTAAAGTTTTAAGCTTAACCCTTGTGGTAGCTTTTGCGTGTTATCTTCATCATTATTAAACATATACATCCCTCTTCATTCTATCCCCATCTCATATACTGTCTCAACTATGCTTAAAGTTTTAAGCTTAACCCTTGTGGTAGTTTTTGCGTATTATCTTCATCATTATTAAACATATATATCCCTCTTTATTCTATACCCATCTCATATACTGTCTCAAATATTTTTCTTGTACCGACTATGGGACATTCTTGTCCATCACTTACCTAGTCTTGGTGTTTTTCTACCAGTGCGACATCTTCGCTTAATTGGCATCTATGCTCGATTTCACCATTTGTATGGCAAACATTTATCAGTGTTTTGCTCAATAGGCATTTACTTAACAAACTCCAACACCTCTCTTACACGTCTAGCCACACACCATAGAGCCACCTTGGGACCGTAGTTTTCAATTTTAGCCAATTTCCTCATCATCTCTTGAAACAAAGACACGGCCTGCAATCCACTCCCGTGCATGGTTAGACAAACAAGGACAGGTCCTGGAAACAATGCTAATCTCATTCATGGGTGATTCAATGTCAATTGACGTTTAAGATTTCTTTTGATCGTTCAATCAAAATTTTGATATTATCAAATCTTTAATATGACCATTGTATCATATTTTGATTTTAGAAATATATCGCAATAAATATTTTATGTTTTATATGATCTTTAAATTTTATTTATTTTAATTATAGATACAAAAGGATAATTATGAGAATTTGACAACAATATCACTTGATAAGACAGTATTAAAGATTTTGATTAATTTATGAAATCTCTCAAAGCAAAGCATTCATCCTATTTTTTTTAAGATCATGTACATTTAGGTATGATAATTTAACTTGAAATTGAGGGGTTTGATATGATTTGATTCGATAGGGTTAAGTTTTTTTTTTAAAAAATTCAGGTTCAGATTTAGTCTAGTCAGATTTTTGAGAGGTTGTGTTGGGTTTGGTTGGAGGGTAGAAAAACTTTAACCGAGAGATAAGAATGTAAATTTTTCTAAAAAAAATATTATTTTTAATTAATTTTTTTATTTTATATCTGGCCGAGTGGAATTTATACTTTAAAAAATTAGATCAATTCAAAGTCAAGTGAAAATATATATTTTCTGGGTTAAGTTGACCAAAAACTCGTCTCTAACGACCAATTACTCTTCCTATGAATATTATATAACAAGAATTCCAAGTACACCTAATAAAGTTAATTAAAGAAAATAAAGCATGAAAATGGTGAATTCAATATATAAGGATGAATATCTTATTTGGATTTGATGTGTTTTAATCTGACTTGATTTTGTTGGATCCATTTTTAATTTTAAAAAAGTTAGTTTATTTTGGGTTGTAGAAGTTTTTAAGGGTTAGATGAGGTTGAATTTTAGGGTGAAAAAATTGATTTGATTCGATATATTTAAAAATAATTAAAACAATATCCTTTTTTATGTTAAATTTTTAATTAGATTTTTATTTTATTATATATATATATATATAGATCGGGTTTGATATGAGTTTTGACTTAAAAAGTTAAGTTAGATATTAATTCGGATGGGATCCTCCTAAACCCAAATCAGATAGAATGCAAGTGAAGGGGTTTAATTTTCATATTTGAGTTGAATGAACCAAAAATCTGACTTAATTCGACTTATGATCATCTTAAATATATATCTAATAATATGTATTGTAGCTTATTTTTTTTCTTATTGTATGTAAAATATTATTTGAATGTAATTCTGAATTTATTTTAAAACTATTCAATTAATTAAACAAATCATTGGTGCAACAACAAATGAATTTTGTTGTATCAAATAGTATTTTTATCAATTACGTAATAGTTATTTAGTTCAATGAGGTGATTAAGTATTGTATTTTTTTATAATGATCCCAAATTTGAATCCTTTCTTGAAAAAGTATCTAGCTAGGTAATAACATGATTATAAAATATTAATTTATCAAAGCAACTGACACGATATGTCTCATAAACTCTGTTAATGATAGTGACTAATGAATGTTTTTTATTGTGATGACAGTAGTGTAATCCTTCTCAAAAACTATGTATTGCTCCTTTTGTACATACTAATAGCAGTGGAAGTGAGTTCTGCAGCTACCGCTCACAGTCCCGTAGAGAGTGGAACGATGGCAGGTGTTGGGAAATGCTTCCTCGTTACTGGCCCTCCAGTAAGTAATGCTATTGCTTTCACCTTTTACTGTAAAATTTAAGAATGCTTTCCTTTTTTTGCGATATTCAGAAATTCGGAATTGGGATTATTAAACGTGCAGGGTGTTGGTAAAACCACTCTGATCATGAGAGTATGCGAAGCCCTGAAGCTCTCTAATCCCAACACCAAGCTTCAGGGTTTCTACTCTCAAGAGATTCGGCAGGGAGGTGAGAGGGTTGGGTTTGAAGTCGTCACCTTGGATGGTCGCAGAGGTCGACTAGCCAGCTCCATCATTTCGAGGTTCCCCCCCTTACTTTAGTAATTTGGGATTAGTGGAAGCAAACGCAGTGCTTGCCGCAATGAAATTCTAGCTGGAACGCAGATTGACAGATGTTGTAATTGAGACTGATTCTTACTCGTTGGGTCGAAAATGAATGAGGGAGGGCAGAATTCTTGAGGTTTTGTGATTGGTCCTAAAGGAAGCATATTCCTAAAATAACCAATTTGTCGTCTATGTTCTAGTTTTCATGTGATTGTGTTAGGCAGTCATGTTGCTCATAGCTTATCTGGTTTTTGGAATTGATTGTAATGTTTCTGACTATGGATTAATAATAATGTTTCTTTTATTATCGGATAAAAAAGAGTCCGGCTAAATCTCTCTTTATAGCATCGGTGGCCGGCTGTTGGGAAATAGAAAGTGGATATAGAATCGTTGAATCTTTGGTATTGCCTGAATTGAAGGTGGCTGTTTGCTTGATGCTTTGTGGGTTCTATGGTTATGCTCCTTTGACCCTTATTCTCCTCCCCCCCTTATCCATAAAATCATCTTTCCCAAGAAATTTTATCGTCTTTTTATATGTCAAACTAATATTGTAATGTACTAGTTTTATGGTCTAATATGTTGGGTTAGGAAATTAAGGCTAAAATATGCTGTCTGTTGTCAGATCAGAGAAGGTACCGATCTCTTCATTATTGATGAAGTCGGTAAAATGGAGTTGTTCAGTTCATACTTCTTTCTAGCCATTCTAAACATTCTTCAATCCGGTAATCCTCTTCTCGCCACTGTCCCAATACCAAAGTTTGGCAAAGATTTGCCTGCAGGTAAATATTTCTGTAGCAGGTAAATATTTCTGTAGTGATTGTGTACCTCTTCTTTTTCTAATCCTGTTCCCACTTAATTTGATATAAAACCATGAAAGACTCAGACTGTTATTATTGCTTAAGGTATCTCCTAGACTGTGCCACTAGGATCTGCATCCCTTTTGTTTTTCATTGCTAAATTTGTATAGCTCTGTGTAAATTTGTGCAGTTGTAAGGTTGAAGAATCATCCAGGTGCAACCATTTTCACATTGGATAAAAGCAACAGGGATGCCACGAAAGAACAAATCTACTCTCAGTTGGTCGGTATGCTTCATAAACTTTAGATAATGGACTAGGTTACAAATTAAAACTTATCTCTGATGATGTATCTGGTTCCACCCTATGAGTAATGGATAGTATGCCATGTATTGAACTTTTGTTAATCTTTTTTGCACACTTCGTATATGCTTGCTTTGGCTTACGATATATAATTCTTTTACCTCTCCGATTGGATTCTGTGTTCTCCTATGGGCACCTAGCTCTACCATAGAATATATTATGCTTAAGATATATGATGCTTTTCAACACATTTTTAGTTGCTATCTTGGCTTTGGGAAGATGAAAGGAAACAGAGTGGATATGCATTCATGCAGTCTAGTTATCATTGCATAATCGTGAAGCTTGCTTTTTCATTTTAGCATAAACTGGTACTTATTCTGTCTTTGTAAAAAAATGGGGTATTTTCCAAACCAGTATGATCACATATCATCCATCCAAATTTCCTGATCAATTTGTTCCTGGCGCTAGGAAGATGAACTGCAAAGCACATTTTGGGGTGATCTAAGGCATCACATATGACTAAACATTTTCATTTTTTTTTGGTTTAGATTTGATTTTCCATTTTTTTTTGTTTGTTAATCTTTACTCATTAGTGCTGTTTTAGGAGAAAGTAAATGCCACTTCACGAACACTACTAACAAATGACTAAGGGTTCTTATTGATGTTGGGTGTTAATAAGAAACTTGCAAGCCCAAGTTGAAACACGCAGGGTGTGTTGAACTGTTGGTCCGCCCATGTAATTGGATTCACAATTCATAATTTTAAATTATAGGGTTAAGTATGTAAATGATCACCAAACTCTATTAAAATGATCCTTTTAGTCATTGAAGTTTTGGAAGTTATAAAATGCTCAGTAAAGTTAAAAAAAGATTAAATGTAATATTGATGTGACATTATACGATAATGTCGTGTCATTATTGAAACAGAAAACATAACGTTGTCATCATCTCTAATAAATTAGCGGTGGGTGATCAAAACAGAATTAAAACATAATGTTATGAATAATTTAGAATAAAATAATAGTTGAGTGGCTAAAACAAACATTTAGTAATAGGTAGGTGATCAAATAGATAGTTTACTCAAACTTTAAATATAAGTGAGAGTGCATATTCAGTGATTGCAAATTGATTTAATCAATTATGTTTATTATAAAAAAAAACCACATTATTAATCTAGGGATGTGCAGGCTGCAGCTTTGCCTAGGCCTTGCACAACATATATAACATTAATATGTTTGTATTATAATATTAGATAAATTATACGTTTAGTATCTAAACTATCAGTTTTAGTCTGTTTTAGTATTTAAATTTTTAATTTTTTAAAATCATACCTAAATTTTAGTTGTTGTTTCGTTTTAGTACAT